CATGGCAGTCTGACCAGTAGAGCACGGAGTTGGGGATTTCGACCCTCAATGGCTAGTCTTTGTGTGTGTGTGGGGGGGTATAAATACTCCCCCACCAACAACAGGGGGACTCTCTTGGCACTTGCTTCACTTGCATATACCCCTTGCAACTACTCTCACACTCTCTAGTGTTTGTGTTCATCCATTTTGTGTGATTGAGGGTTGATTAGTCAAGAGTCAAGTGTATTGCTTCATTGTAGAGCTAGTGCGGCACTTGATCATCTTCGAGCCGGGTCATCGCTTGTTACTCTTAGAGGTTGCCATCTCCTAGATGGCTTGTGGAGGTGTTTCCCTGTGACCTCTCCAAGGAGATTATGAAGAAGGCCCGACGCCAGTTGTGAGTGGTTTGGAGTTTACCACCTTTGGAGTTAAGGAAGAACTACCTTTAGTGATCGAGGCTTTGACATCCTGGCCGAGGGCTTAATAGGATTAATACTCATATCAACAAGTTGCAACTTCTTTTCCGGAAGCCGATCTCTAAAGAACTCTGAGGTTAAGCGTACTTGGCATGCAGTAATTTAGGGATGGGTGACCGATCGGGAAACTCTTCCCGAGTGCGCACGGGTGAGGACAAAGTGTTCAGAAAAGACTCTATGAGGGCAGTCTATAACCTATGAAAGCTGCAAGATGTAAGTGGGCTCGGCCTGGGAAAGGCGGGACGTTACAAAATGGTATTAGAGCCGACTCTCGCGGTTTCACGGGCGCGCGTCGCAGTTGCATAGGCATGTGCGCATGGCTGGTGTGGACTCTTGCGGTTTCACGGGCGCGTGTGTCGCAGTTGCGTAGGCATGGTGCGCATGGCTGGTGTGTACTTGGAGTGGTCACACAGCATGGCACATGCGCTGGCATTGGACACACGGACGTGGCCAAGAGGGAACGTTCCTAGCTTGACAAGTTGCAACTTCTTTTCCAGAAGCCGAGCTCTAAAGAACTCCGAGGTCTCGCGGTTTTACGGGCGCGTGTGTCGCAGTTGCGCAGACATGGTGTGCATGGCTTGTGTGGATATGGAGTGGTCAAACAGCATGGCACATGCGCTGGCATTGGACACATGGACGTGGCCAAGAGGGAACGTTCATGGCTTGACAAGTTGCAACTTCTTTTCCAGAAGCCAATCTCTAAAGAACTCTGAGGTTAAGCATGCTTAGCCTGGAGCAATTTAGGGATGGATGACTGATCGAGAAATTCTTCCCGAGTGCGCACGAGTAAGGACAAAGTGTGCAGAAAAGACTAATTTTGGTCTATGAGGGCAGTATATGACCTATGAAAGCTGCCAGATGTAAGTGGGCCTGGCCTGGGAGAGGCGGGACGCTTGACGAAGGGGGCATGCGGTGGATAGAAAGCTGCCAGATGTAAGTGGGCCTGGCCTGGGAGAGGCGGGACGCTTGACGAAGGGGGCTTGCGGTGGATAGAAAGCTGCCAGATGTAAGTGGGCCTGGCCTGGGAGAGGCGGGATAGTCCACTTCGTGGGCCGGCTCCCACCTCGCCCACCCCTTGACGAAGGGGGCTTGCGGTGGATAGAAAGCTGCCAGATGTAAGTGGGCCTGGCCTGGGAGAGGCGGGATAGTCCACTTCATGGGCCGGCTCCCACCTTGCCCACCCTATGACGAAGGGGGTTTGCGGTGGATAGAAAGCTGCCAGATGTAAGTGGGCCTGGCCTGGGAGAGGCGGGATGTTACAGAGGCTTGGGTAGTCCACTTCGTGGGCCGGCTCCCACCTTGCCACCCCTTGATGAAGGGGGCTTGCGGTGGCTTCGTGGTTTTGAGCGGTGAAGTTGGGTTCGCCTCAACGGGGATTAGGAACCGGCGAGTTTCCGAACCTCGGGTGAAAAATTCCTTGTCTCTTGCCTCATTTACTTATTGCATTTTCATCTGTGCAATTTACTTTCATAGAGACATATCTGAGCCCATATCACCCTAGGATTTCAAAACATAACTTAGTTGCAATTTACTTTCATAGAGACATATTTTAAGCCCACATCACTCTAGGATTGTAAAATATAACTTAGTTGCTTAGTTAAGTTTATCCCTCACCAAGCCTAGCAACTTAGGTTAGTTTTGATTAGGTGTGATTTAATTTTAATCGCCTATATATTCACCCCTTGTAATCGACATCTCGATCCTACAACGTCTAATAATTTGCTAGTCACTGGTGCATGGGAAGCGTGGGAAGAGGGGAAGGGCAATTTCCCTTTTACTGTAGTAAAGATATGCTTCCTCCGTTTTCAAAATAAATAAACCTAGTATGTGATGTGACATGTTTTACTGCTATGAGATTATTAATACTAACTCATAGTACTAGGATGTGTCACATTCCGTATTAGATTTGTTTATTTTGAGACATGAATAATATGGGATTGTGGTGGGAAGAGAACGTCGTGGTTTTTTATAAATAGGATTGGGGCGAGAAGAAAAGGGAAGAAAGACGATTGTGCTACATAGTACTAGCAAATTAGCCATGCTATGCCATGGGATACAAAATGAAACCATTTTTCCGTGTTTGTAGTAGGAAATTTTAGTTTTGTTTCTATTCATTTTCTAATTGGCTGGTTTTATGGAAAACCATTCTTTCTTCTTTTTTTTTGGTGGGGATGGGGTGCAACATCGATTTTCTCCAGTGGTTTTTTTAGATTTGTTGAAAGCGTGGGTAGAGAGGAGGACGACTTCCTTTTTAATGTAGTAGAGATAGTTGCCTATTTTTTAGGAGAAACCGTTGTTTTTATAGAGCATTAGATCACATCATTGGTTTTCTCCGCTAATTTTTGTAGATACATGGGAAGCATGGGGTAGAGAAGAGGTGGGCGACTTGGGCTGCACTCATTTATGATGGTTAGGAACTTCTCACATGGGCTTAAAAAACAAGATAACTCATTTGCACATGATTAATTTAGTACTCCCTATACAGTATGCAACATATCTTAAAGACTACAAATCTGGATATACAGCTATCCAAATTTATAATCCTAGGTCATATCCTATCCTAGATACATTTATATTGGGACTGTGGAGATTATGGGTACCCCATACACACACGGCATGGTTATCCGACTAGTTATAGGGGATAACTTATATCTATGAAATATGTAACAGATCATGACTTGGGTATTACGTTTCCTTGTATATTATGGAACGGCCTAAGGTCCTGGTTTAATGATATTGTAAAGTAGATTTAGGAAACTGATACCGTATTGGTTAAGGTTTCTATTTTGTAATCCTGCCCTCCATCCTATATAAGGTGGGCAGTAGGCCCTCTAGGGGGCAGATGAGACAACTAGATCGTCAGATCTATAATACACTCGGCGGATTCAAATCCCCAAACAGAAGTAGGGTATTACCTCTCATTGAGAGGGCTTGAACCTGTCTAAATCATTGTCTCCGCATCCATCCACTTTTAGGTCTCGTGCGCTACCCCTTTTATTATTGCCGAATTCTTGTTTCGACAAGGACATAGGGAATATTAACGGATTTCGGTGATTTTTTTTGAGAGAGAGCATTAGAGCAAGTTTAATAGAAGTATAGCCAACTGTTAGGTATAAAAGCTATTCCGTTCATCTAATTTAATAGCCTACCATACAATAGTTTCATATAAATATATAATACACTATTAATACTTAGCCCATCTATCACGAAACCTCTAATGGGCGATCGATCGCCCAGCCGATGGGGTAGCGATCGGGTAGCCTCCCCCCTCCCTCCACCTAGTTTCCTTTTTTGACACCGTATTACTTTCCTATTTTAGTAAGTTTATACACAGTTTACACATCTAAAGTTTAGAGACCAAAAGTTTATAAGTCAAAAGTTTATATATCCGATTCAAATTTGAATTTGAATTCAAATATTTTTTATATATAGTATTTCTATACATCTAAAGTTTATACACCTAAAGTTTATAGACCCAAAGTTTATAAGTCAAAAGTTTATATACCCGTTTCAAATTTGAATTTTAATTATATCCGATTTGAATTTGAATTCAAATATTTTTTATATATAGTATTTCTATACATCTAAAGTTTATACACCTAAAGTTCATACACCCAAAGTTTATAAGTCAAAAGTTTATATACCCATTTCAAATTTGAATTTGAATTATATCCGATTTAAATTTGAATTTGAATTCAAATATCTTCTATATATAGTATTTCTATACCTCTAAAGTTTACACACCTAAAGTTTAGATCCAAAGTTTATAAGTTAAAAGTTTACATAGCCGATTCAAATTTGAATTTGAATTCAAATTTTTTATATATAGTATTTCTATACATAAATTTTTTTAACTTTTGTTTTTTTTTTAAAAAAAAATTTGTGGTGTAGAAGGAGGGGAGGAGGAAGGGGGAGAGGAGGGAGGAGTGTATTGAGTATAGGGGAGGGGGAGGACGGGACCCGCCCATTAGGCGTGCCCCATCTATCACACACACGTACTCCTCCGTTAAAAAAAAACTCACCATCGAAGACAATAAATCTGAACAATCTCATGTCTAGATTCGTTGTCAAGTTATTCTTTGTTTTAGTGGAGGGATTAATATCTTAAAACTCGTGCTGCAGTTCAACATAAATCTGTACTCCGTTTTTCTTTTATCTCCTTTTCTCTTTCTTCGCATATGTTTTTTATGGGTGAGGATTCTCTACCATAATGTCACTATTACGTGAATCCCACCCTTCTATTATTTCACATGTCAGTGTCTGTAATGGTAGTGTAATTATGGTAGAAGATGTGAACCCGTTTTTTACTACCTTGTCTTATAGTATTAGATGTGAACCTGTTTTTTACTACCTATCTTATAGTAATGGTCTACTGTATCCGTCCTATAATATAGCAATCTAGGATATGATGGGATGTTTCATAGTGCAACTAATCTGGATAGACCTTCTGTCTAGATCTATTAAACTATAAAATGTCTCGGCTGATTCTAAGTTGTTATATTATGGGATGGAGGGAGTACTTGCTATTACAACAACTGATCAAGCAAGCAAATCACCGAAACCGCTCCCGAAAATTCAAATATCCAACGCTCCATTTCGCTTCCCCACCCAAATTCCCAATCCCACCCCGCCGCCGCCGCCGCCGAGCGATACCGGGGCCGCCGCTCCCCATGGACGCCGGCGACGCGAGCCGCTTGGGGGAGTCGCTGGACGCCGTCTCCGCCGCCTTCCAGTCCCGCGTCATGGAGCTCCAGGAGCTCGTCCTCGCCCGCAACAGTAAGCTCCCTCTCTCCACAACCTCACCCCTCCTCATTCCCATCTCTCTCTCTCTCTCCTCCCATCACCGAAACCCTCCGATCCCCTGACCCCGCCTGCCTCCCCCACACGTTCGCAGTGTACCCGGCTACGGCGATACCGGACCTCGCCGCCGTCGACGTGTCGCTCACGGCCATGGAAGCGCAGTTGCAGGCGGTCCGCCGCCGCCTCCAGGAGGAGCGCGAAGCCTTCCCCAAGGCCAAGGTATCGTCCTCTTTCTAAGATTTAATCAATGCACTGTTAAATTGGCAGTACAGGTTGTTCCTTGGTTGCTGATTTGACGAACATGGGGAGGGGATCGACACAACATATTTTGATTAGGACCTAAACAATCAAAGGGATTTGATACCCACTAATCCCTTGTTAATCCAATCCTCCTGTGGCGTGATGGGTTGTGTAGAAATGGTTGGATTAATCTTGCCTGTTCCTGCGGCGTGATGGGGTTGCAGTGAGTGTCTGGGTATGGGGGTAAATGGATATATCAGTTACCGTAGTTTGAGTATTTGGAGAATTGAACAAAAACAAGGTCTTTGTCTTTCTGGGAAAAAAAAGTATTATATCTTTCGATAATTTTGCTATTGCTCCTAAATCCAATCTTAATTTTGTTCAATCTACCCGTGAAATGAAATATTTCTAACTAGTGATTTCCTCAAATACTGATGTAGAAACTAGTACAACAGTCCTTGAAGCAACAGCGGAGGCTGCAGCTTATGCTTGCAAACATGCCAACTGGGATGCGCGAGGATGTCTTTGCTACACCTCTGGAACATAATTCATCAATGTATTTGTGAATATTAGGAAAATACATTGGCTGTTTCTACCTTCATTTGTGATATCAAGTTTTGTGCGTTACAGGATGTTTCCTGAGTCGCTCAATTTCAGCTCGGCTGTTCCAGAAGTCAGAGACCATGATTTAAAGATTAAGGAGGAGCCAACTGCACCACCCAAGGTAAAGATATACAATCTTATGTAACTTTTACTCATTGTCTACAATTCTTTTCAGATAGAAATTATAATTGTGTCATCATCTAATTTATTCTTTTATTACTGAGAAGAAGGGAAGAGGACCTGCACCTCGTTGGTACATATCCACTGAGGAGCTTGATTCGTTGTCATCGTGAGTTCTCAATTGCAATGATAGCTTCATTTCATTTACTTGTCTTTATATACCAACCACATTCCTTTATCTGCATCCAATATGTGGTTAAGTGTTTTTTTTTGGTGTTTACATCTGTCCGTTTGAGATAATGCGATGTATACCATATGAATGTGCTACTTCTTTCTACACCATTCTTCTTTTCTGCATACTTAGATTTTCTTTTCTGAACAAATGGTAAGAAATGCTAGGTGAATGTTTTGTGATTTACCTAGGGCCTGTTCAGATTGTAGCCAAAATAAATCTTACCAAATTTTGGCATTGTCAAAATTTTGCCAATTTGGCAATATTGCCAAGTTTTGGCAAGATTTCTTATTTATTTATTAGAGTTTGGTACGAAACTAAATGGATGCACATATTTGGCAACTTTGCCAAAAAAATGGTATGGTTTGAAATGGCATCAATCTGAACAAGCCCCTAGAATTGAGCCTAGACATGACTTGCAGTCAAAACATCTGCCTTCTTTGCCTTTGCATCATCTTTTTGCTATGTGGGTCTCACAGGCAATGAAGGTTGTCATGAGGTTTATATTATCAATCCAGCACTACTGAGTATGGAGATAAGTGCCTATTTACCTATGTTCCTATAAGTTGAAGCTGTTAAAGTGCTGCCTATTGGTTTTGTAACCCATCTATTTCATTATACACCAAGTTCAATCAGTAGAGAACCTGAAATATCAAAACTCAAGAGACAAACAATGCAATATAGCTGGTATGGTCAACTTCTTTGAGTTTCTTATAAATCTAGGTTCTTTGCTAACTTGTCTTTAAGAAATGGTTATACACTATAGAATAGACGAAATCACATGGAAGTTGGAACAATATTTTTACTCAGGAAGGTTGCTATTTCATTTTCCCATTGTGTAGAACTATATAAGACATGCAAACTGGTGCCATGCCTTCAAACTAAAAATGGCATCCCATTTTGTTACTACAGATACATGAGAGGGAGGCTCACTCTGGAGAAGGTTAACATTGCCATCAATGAAGTGGCTTCATATGCGGACGGCAATGCTCATCTTGTTGCATGTCCAAAGAAAAAGGTTGATCATTTCAATAACTTTACTCCACCTTTTATTTATAAAAAAAAATCAAGATTATTGAAAAAACAGTGGGAACTAGCTGGTTCCTGCACATAAACCAAATTTACCCCCAAAATCAGATGTTTCATTTTCTGTTTTTACTAATAAGCATCATTTGATAAACTGTAGAAATTTCCATTCTTATGTGGAGACTTTGGAGAGAACTTGAATATAATATAAGTACTAACCGTTAAGGAAACAATTGAACTTTCCCGATAGCAGAAACCAGCACATCTTTTGTCACAGTTTTCAAATCAATGGAAGTTTAACCTGTAAACAGCCATTGCCCAGTTGTATGGTAGGATTGGTTGTTGACCATCCTTAATGTTCTTGCAGTTATCAGAAGACACATGGGAGAAGGCACTGGTAAGTTCTGGAAGGATGTTGATTCGATTTACTCATTTTTGTGCGGAATCAGCATTTTTTTTTCTTTTTAGGAATTAAGGGACATTGCAGCAAGAGAGTCAGTTAAGGGGAGGCATTTCTTCTTGGAAACTGATATAAAGGGACCGGGCTTAAAACTTGATACCACAGGGAAAGCAATCCTTACTGTAAGTATATGCAGCTTTGACCACTTGTGTACAAATGATTTTTTTTCTTCTATATCTCTAAGATGATTTTAATGATATACATATTTGGTAGACAAAAATGCTATTCAAATTTTTCCCTTTGTAGTTGGCACCCTTTCAAAGAAATTTGGTAGCATAATTTGTATTTGTCAAACTTGAACGGGGTAGAGAAAGAACATGGTACGCTAAATTAAACATTAACTGTGGTATTGAAGTTAAGCAGTTAAACAATTCCATTCATATGTTTTGCCCTGTTTAACAAAATTGATTTAACATTTCATAACTCATGCGACGCACCATACTTACACTGCATTCCTGTCTGTTTATTTGTATAACAGCCAGTATTAACGAGACTACTAGTAAAGCCATTTACTTGGCACCATTAATGATGAATATTTGCTTGAATGAAAATAGGATGCTACACACTAATTTCTTGAAGATGTGAAACAAAAACTACTACTGATTTGCTCTTGCCAATTGGAATTTTCCTTTTCTGCCGCATTAATCTTCTCGTGTTTTTTCAGGTCCTTCGTCATCTCGGCCGCTTCCAGGAGACCCGGATTGGGCATCATCGCGTTTTCATACTTTCAAAACAACAGTGAATGAAGGGTCTCCTCCAAGCTTTATTTAGGTGCTGGAGAATATAAAGTTTAATTTGGTGTTAGGCTGGAGATAGATACGCATGCATTGAGCTTGTTTACTAATTGCTATGCTGTAGTTTGTTGTATACAGGTCAGGGCAAGTACTATAATGCTCTATATGCTACCCCTAAAATTGCCATATTGGATTGAGTGATGAGGTGGAGGAGATAAGTGAGGAGAGAGATGATGAACCACCCCTAAATCAAGAGGCAACCTCCACACAAATCTATTATCTATCTATCTATCTATCTATTTCTATTATATAATAAAAGTCTATTAAATTTTCTACAAATTTTCTCAAGCTGCCACGTGGCATTCTACGAACGCTTCTAAGCTGTCACGTGGCACTTTTAGAAATTAGAAAATTTCTTAAAAATCTATAAAAAAAAGGAAAACATTTTACTGTTGATTTTTATTAAATTTAGTGGTCCCATTATTTTAAGCGTTTAGATTTATCCGAATCAACCTACAGGTAGGAACGTACGCACCCCTCTTTCTATGTTATGGTTGTTAAGATTTAATCCATAATTTGTTACAGATTAATCTATCTATACTAATATAAAAAGGAGTTGTCTCCTTGCAATCTTACAGGTGAAATCCACATACTTAATCCCCACCGTCCATCCGACATCTCATCTAATCTGATCCGTCGTCTCATCTCATCATCATCGCTGTGCTAATCCCACCGATTACTCCGCCCCCGAGCGCGCGACTCCGCCGCTCCAATCCCCGCCCCATCCTCGCTCCTCTTCACATCCTCCCTCCTCTTCTCATCTCAGCCGCACGAATCCCCGCCGCCTCGATCACTCGCTCCGCTCGATTCCCCGTTGCCGCCGTTGGACCAGCCACCCTCCTCCTCGCTCTGTGTGCATCCTCCCTCTCTCAGCAGCACGAGGAATCCCCGCCGCCTCACCTGCCCCGCCTGATTCCCCGCGGCCGACGCAGTCCACCGCCGGACCAGCCGCCCCCTCCTCGCTCCGTGCGCATCCTCCCTCCTCTCAGCCGTACGAATTCCCGCCGCGGTCCACTGCCGGACCACCTCATTCGCTGGTGCGCCTCCTCGCGACTCCCCGCCGCACGCCACCGCATCGTGCCCCTGCAGGCGACGTGGTGGTTCCCCCTTCCGCCAGAGCCCCATCCGAGATGGCCGCATGCAGTCGGCGTCAATCCAGGGCCTTCCATCGCCGAGCTCGATCTGCAGCCCTTGGTCGCTGGCGTTCGAAGCTGGCCTCGGTGTGGAGCACGCCGTTCCGCCTCTGTTCAAAGCCCACCAACTCCTCCAACCGTAATCCCCAACCAGACTTGCTCCATCTATCGCCAACACTCGATCTGTATCTGACTATCTGTTGGCTACTGCCCTGGAAGGACAAGGGGCATTTGATGTTGGCAGTAGTTCCTCACCATCATCTCCTTTCCCAGCGTGCACTCCTGCATCCCCAGCCATGCCAAGCCTGGCGCCGACCTCCGGCAAGGACGACCTCAACTTTGTGTTGTTCAGCGTCCAATACCCATTCAAAATATTCCAGTTGGTCAGGTAATTAGTTACTATCTTGGCTAATTGACCTTCTTTTGTCTATTTTCTCCTATACTTAAATTGAACCATTGAACTTTGCTCTTTGTTAACTATTTCATCTTGTGTAAGTTGGAATTCCAGTAATTAAAAATGTTGATTAGGTTTCTTATTTGTCAAAATTTTAATCATATTCGATTTGGTGTATTTACCTTCTCATTTCTAGATAGCACAAATTTTGATTAAAAATTGGCTGCAATAGTGTTCTCTGAATTGAAGAGGCAGCTATTAAAACCAATTGAGCCTTAGATTGTTAATCAGGTTGTTGATATTGCTCGCGGTCACTGTCGTTCCTAGGTCTGTAACACCTCCATTACTATGCTACCAACATACACAACTTTTTAGCCTATATATGTTTTCTTTTGTTGTTCCTTTAATTTATTTAAACCTTTTCAGGATGGATAGGGAATTCAGGATGGTAGTTGGTAATCTCCTGCAGGTAGAATCCATTACTTTTTACTGTCTTTTTCTCAATCATCGCAAGCATTTTCTTTGCTTAGGGTCTGATTTATGACCTAGCTTCCATGAATCTGGTTATGGCAGTCTTCTTGGTAGATGTGGCGTTAGGATTGTGCTCCCACTCACACTCACACTCAGAGGCATATTGCCTAGGTCTACAGTCTACTCCAAACCACATAGTTCAATTCCTCCGCGTTTTAGGTAAATCACTGATCTATCTCTGTATTTGTGAGAAAATTTTTGATTTGGTATATATGACGACCTTGAGAAGTAATGATATGCTTTCTTCTGGATTCTGTATATACTTTTGTGCAGAACTGGAGTCAAATGTTTCCGTTTGTTTTGTGGCTTGATTAGTCCTGTGCCCATGCATCTCTTGCTCCCTTACTAATTTCTCTGGTGTGTAGAATTGCAGATCAATGATGCATGGCAAGGTCAGAGCGCCAATGAAGTACTAAAATGGTAAAAGAAGCTCCTGCTCCTGTAATTTCTTAGTATCTCTATGCAACAATGGATGCCCTGATATACTTTGATACAGGATGATCTGTTGATTACCATATCCGAACCATTTGTTCTGACTGTTTATATATATTGTAGATCAAGCAACTACTGATCATGCCATTTGTAGAGTTTATGTGCTTATCGTTGCAAGGTCAACAAAGGCTACAAACAACCTACAAACCTTTTGCTCCTTGGGGCTACTAAAGCGCTCTTCTTTTGGTGAAATGGCAAGACTCTGTTTCGAAGAGTATATTTGGTTGCTTCTAGAAGTAATACTTTTTGCATATAGTTTTGTTCCTTTAACCTTTTAGGATCAACTAATTTTGTTCTCCAGCACTGATTTGATCTTAATGACTCATTGCTTCCAATTCCATAAGGCACATGCTAGATGGTTATTGACAGCCACAACACCGGCGCCGAGGCGGTCTGCCCTTTCGCCATTGACGCGGCCCAACAGTCACGCTGCTCGACTGCGCCGGTGTGCCCCCAACCTCTTGTCCTTGAAGCCACGTCTTGCTGAAACGTTGCCCCAGGCACGATTAGGGCGCTTGTGGCACTAATTCGGAAAGATGGAAGGTAATTACAATCTTCGACCCGCGATTCCCTCCCCCTCTACCTCATCGTGATCCTCTCATGTTCCCTTTCGCTATTCGCGCTCCGGCGAACTACTCAGATCGGTCAATCCCTGAAATAGCAGATAGGCTGGTGGACCTTAGCTGTGGACGACTGGGATCTTGATGGCACCGATCCAAGCCTCCGAGGAGAGGGATGGCTGTGGAAGGGCACATCACTGACAAGGTAGTAATTTACCAACATCTTAGTGAGCATAATTCCACACTAATGAGCATAAAAGTTCTTTTTTTTGCTTTTAATACATACAGAGATTCAGTTCATCTGCCTCGGATTGCTATAAAAATACTAATTGTCTATTGCAGCACTATATCATGTCCATTTAACAACCAATTCTTGCACAGCTAAGAAAATGTGTGTGCACTGTGCAGCCACAATTGCAGATATAGTTAGGTACAATAAGTGAAGTTGAGGGGAATAATTTGGTGATGACTATAAGATTTTCTGCTTGTGCTTCTCAATATTTTTTAGATATGTTATCCTCTAATGTAATGGGGAGAAAGTCTGATATATTGTGATACTTTTCCTGCTGTAAAGAAGTATATATGGATTCTAGACCCTTATGCTAAATATTTTCAGTGTTATGACGTTAGCTGCCATGTTTAAATTGTTCATTTATACAGGTGATATTTTTTTCCTGCATTTATTAATTCAAATTCTAAAACTATATATGCTGTAGAATTTCAGTGTTATGATGTTGGCAGCCAAATACATTGTTTAATAGGGAATATATTTCTTGTATGCATAGTGAATTCAAATTCTGAAACTATGTCAGGTTGTTGACACACTATCATATATGGCTCACTGCCTCATTTAAATTCTTGAATCTGTGTTGACTTGCATCTCCCATGTGGTACTCAAATGGACTCAGAAGCTCCCCATGTTGATATTGCTAATCATGAGCATTCTACAATCATCACCTATAAACTTGGTTGATGGACTTTACAAATGCATCTTGTCTAAGGAATCCCTGAAGTAAGCCTGTTTCCATACGATTAATAGAACATGGCATTATGTTATTGTTTAATTTATATTAATGATGTGCGTTTTAGGAAAGAGTGTATTGTGATCTCAAAGGCTTATCCAATTCGATTGAGTCTAAAAACAAAATCATGAATCACTTCGTATGAATCATCACCTGGGCATTGAGTGTTTCAACATGATTGTACAGAGGCTTGCACACAACAAAATTCCTACATTTAATGGGTCCAAAAGTTCTGTTATAAAGCACTTCATGGACATGTGATTTTGTATAATATCTCTGATTATTACATTTGGTTTCATAGGATACTTACATCACTCTGAATTTTCTATCATTTTTATTTTTTTCGGCAAAAATTGAGCAATTTTGGACATCATCCATTATGCTGCAAGGTTATTGATGTTAAATCATTTGCAAGATCCATAGATGTTTGGCCATGGATGGATTACGATCTCGCGTTCTCCAATGTGGCAAAGTTCGCTCACTTTTGCAATGTGGAAGTTGCTTACCCTTGACTAAATCAGGTTTTCACTCTCCCTAATTCTCGAGCTCGCATACTATGTTTAGCACATTATGCTTTTCATTTCATGTGTTCTGTAATATGAGAGCTTCCATATAATTCCCTCATCTGATTGGCAGTTGGCAACAGCCTGCCGTGTTTGTTACAATTCTGAATAGAAAACTTTGCCCATGTCGGTCATGTGTTTGACAAAATGCTCCAGACACTTGATCAAATGAATGTATTTGTATTTTCTCACTTCCTCAGTATAGCAACAAAAATATTACTGGTTTGCTTTTTCAATCTGAATCACTAGGTGTTGTTAGGTTTGGAGAAGTTTGGACTGAATCAATGCAATGGACAATTCATAGAAGATTTCAAGCAGTGGAAAAAGGAGACTTCTACAACTGCCACAGGTACAATACTCTGACATTGAAATAGAAGCTGACCAATGCGCTCACATTGAAATAGATATATGTTTAAGTACAGCCTGAATTTTCCTTAATAAGGAAGACCATTTAACCATTTGTGCAGGATTAAAATTTGGTCTAAGATACAGATCTTGATGGCATGGTGGTGCTGAGTGTATGCCATAATTCTGGTGAGAGTTGGATGTAATTTGCTTGCCTTCAGGATAAATTGGATGTATTTTTTGCTGACCAACTGGATGTATGCTTTCTTAACCGGTTTTATTTATATATAACTTTAGTCAGCTTGTGAAATTATGTAAAATTCAGTTCCTGAAGTACTGGTACTTACTGTTGATTTATTTGTGCGTGCACTTACTGATATAAGATCATTTGTTATTCTCTTTACTTACAATTTCACTTCCAGCTGGCAATGATTTATACTTCAATCATAATTGTTTGCTTAGGAAGTACTCTCTCCGCTTCATATTAGATGTTTGTTTTCTTTTCTTAGTCAAACTTCTTTTAAGTTTGATCAAATTTATAGAAAATATATTATTATTTTCAAAAGAAAACAAACATATTATGAAAATATATTCAATGTTATATTTAATTATACTAATTTTATATTTTAGATGTTAAATTTTTTTATAAACTTGGTCAAACTTAATAAAGTTTGACTAGAAAAAAAATCTTATAATATAAAACGGAGGGAGTAGCAACATTGCAATGTATAAATCATGCCGGGCTACCTTGTACGTTATGGATATATTCACCAAAAAGGATTTTATAGAAATAATCCAAATAGGGTTTTTACTATGATGTATGAAACTTTATTTTTACCTTAACAATTTTTATGGTCTGCACTGCCTTAAAAAAAGTCACTATTGTTCTACTCCCTCTATTTCACAATGTAAGTCATTTAGCATTTCCTACATTCATATTGATATTAATGAATCTAGAGACATATATATTTATCTAGATTCATTAACATTAATATGAATGTGAAAAATGCTAGAATGATTTACATTATGAAACGGAGGAAGTACCTACATACATACATTGCCAAAACGTGCAAGTGCACGATTACGAGTGCTAATATAAAAAAGGAGTTCACCCCCTAGCAATCCTACGTGTGAAATCAACCACTCTTATCCCATCCGTCCATCCACCCTCTCATCCAATCTGAGCCGTCCGCTGTACACCGTAGATCTATATCCACAAGCGATTTCGCCCGATGTCATCCCACCACGCGGTAACTGCGACGCGCAAATCCCCGGTGCGATGACGACTCCGCCTGCTCGCTCCGCGCCTCTCTCTCCCCGCTCGCGTCCTCGCTCTGCGCCTCCTCTCCTCGCGACGGTCCACCGCCGGACCAGCGACCTCGCCTCCTCGCTCCGCCTCAATGCCGGACCAGCGCCGAGGCACTACCGCACTGCTGCCCACGGCCAGGCACGGTCCAGCCGCCTCTGACCGGCACCACAGCGCCTCCGCTGCTCGCAGGGACGCCGCCGCTACCCGCCCGGCTACCTCCGTTGCCGCCGCCAACACGCTAGTCTCCTCCTCCCTGATCGAGATCGAGTCGACACATACACCACCAACCACCGGCCGGCCGCCGCGCACCGGCGAGCAGGATGGGGAGGCCGCCGTGCTGCGACAAGGTTGGGTGAAGAAGGGGCCATGGACGCCGGAGGAGGACCTGATGCTGGCCTCCTACATCCAGGAGCACGGCTCCGGCAACTGGCGCGCCGTGCCGACCAACACCGGTGCGTGTTCTTGTGTGTTCTTGATCGATCGATCTGCGTTGGGTTGCGAGATCTGAGATTTTTGCATGTTTGATCTGTGCGTGTGTGCAGGGGTGATGCGTTGCAGCAAGAGCTGCCGGCTCCGGTGGACGAACTACCTCCGGCCGGGGATCAAGCGGGGGAACTTCACTGAGCAGGAGGAGAAGCTCATCGTCCACCTCCAGGCTCTCCTCGGCAACCGGTGATTTTTCTTTTCTTGGTTTTATGGTTGCTTTGATTGCTTTGTCCATGGCGTCCATGGCTGAGTGGGTTGCTGGCTGGCTCTGGCTGTCTACGATGGGCGTCCATGGCATAAGAGGATTCTGAACTGATGCATAAGAGTGTCTTGCATTTGCAGTTCTCTACCATAATCGTGGTCCACAACATAGCCGTGCTTTCTGAATACTTTCAATGGATAGTCAACGAAGCTCTACACTACAAATTTCTGCAATAACATGTACTATTATTTTTTGTCTGAATTTTGCTTTGCTTGCTACCTTTATTTTACCTGGAGACAATTTATATTTGGCCTGTGATAATACTCTATTGTAGTGTATGTACTAAAATGTGTTTTTATTCTATTTAGGAGGGATCATATGGAGGTTAGTTAACTATTGTTTATCACTGATTCTCTTCCATGCCCAATAGGTGATTTCACCAATGAAAGATGGAACATTTATTGATTGGGATATTGTTGACAATATATGGAATCATGCTTTCAGGTGAGTTGCTTTATCTATTTGATGCAGATCTGAGTAATTTTGTGCCAAAAGTGCACGCCCAAAAAGCTGGCCACACTTGTGGCAAAACTTGTCTGAAAAATAAATCTATGACATGAGAGGCACTGGAGTAACCAGGTTTGGCACGCTGCTTATGTGGTTCGCCAAACACTTGCCCGTTGCCGCAAAAGGCCGAACGTGCCTAACTTGTTTCTGGGGAAGTTTGGGATGAACCAAACTCTATCTTTAACATAGTTTCTTTAGAATCAGCAACAAAGTTAATCTTCTATGCCTCTATGGAATCTTTTGGATGTCAGCATGGTTACTGCTTTATGCCCACCATCTTTTCACCTTACATATTTATTTATGCTCTTCAAATATACTAATAGTGAAATCCCTTCTTATGTGTACAACCGGATAAAGTTGATTAAATACTAGGATTTCCTTTGTATGGCATGGAGATGCAACTACTGAAGTTTTTTGCTTTGTTAGCTTTTATCCTGAGGAGCATCCTATGTTGATAGTTGAACCATCTACAAACACAGGGCAGCAAAGAGAGAAGTATGTCCATATGTTCTGTATTTAAATTAATTGTGTTGCTTATGTGGTCCTATATCTAAATTTAACAATTCTCAAAACCTTTTTATCTTTTTTGTATCGTGGGTTGTCAAAATAAGCAACTATAGTATTTCTACGTAAAACACCCATAAAGGGTATTTCAATCGAAATCCCAAAACAGGATATTGGTTCTTTCGCTTGCTCTTGATGATACTGTAATGGAATGGCAAACCTATTTCTTCGCATTTTGGCTAACAAATCTGAATTATTTTGAAGAATAGAAGGATAGACAAAATTCCAATGACCATTGGACATGATTCGATCTGGCGTTGAATAATCAAGAATTTCCCTATCTTTTTTAACAAAAGTATCCATTAAGGTGTTTCTTTTATCATGCCATTTTTGTTATTTATCAGTTTTTTTGGAACAAAAACAATGTATTTTCTTAGTTGATGCTTTATGCAGGTATCTATTGACTTTAAAGATCATGAAGGCATAATGCATATATCAAGGCTTTGACATGGTCTTCGTGCAAGAATAAAATGCCATTTTGTGTTCGTCAACAAGTGTTATTTATTTTTAATCAACAATTGTTTGTCTTACTTCAGGTTCACTGATCTAATGTTTTAGTCTTGCACCTGTCACTTGCTAATAATGTTGTAACCTTGCTCCTGTCACTTGATAGTATTTCAAATAATTTCCAATATTATTTGTGCAGATTATATAAGGTCGCTTTAAGATTACCATGTTCAGATTCTTCTGCCGGCCCTGTTATTTACATTATGCATTGGACTATTGAGCCTGGTTGTTTTTGGAGGACCAGGGAGCATGGCTGGAGTATCATCTAGAGGATAACCTGATGTGGATTATGCACTTGGCTTTGTCTTGACAAATAATATATGCGGTATTGCTTGTAAGAGAGGTCTTGTTTTCTGATCTTATCCTGGATTGTATTAAGGACAATTCATGTGGATTAAGGAGAATTCAGAAACAAAATTTGGAACATTTGCTATAGTATTTTCTGATCTTATCCTGGGATGTACCTGAACTTAATATTCTCGGTTGTACCGGTTCATTTCTGAGTTCATTCCCTGAACTTGTTGACTAATTTCAATCTGTGATGTGGCTCAATTTTTTAATATATATCTACCAAAGTTTGGTTTGTTTATGTTATTGGTGCACTGAGATAATTTTAATTATTTTGGCTGTTACGTTGGTAAATTATGCAGTTATGACATTTTATCACACTTCCTAATTTTTATATGTAGTTTACATTTTATACTTATTTTTTTATACACGTGCACGATTCCTAGTATATCTAATGGTCAACTTAATTCCTTGACTTCTCTCATGGAGGCAAAACCGGTTGTGGACGAAATTCTGATGCATGTCCCATGTACCTTGATACATATGAGGTTCATTGGTGGTCTTAGGTTCGTTCTTTAATAAACTGTCTTTACAACGATGACCTTTTAAACTTAACATCCAATTTATGATAAGATTAAACCATTGTATTTCTTTTAGTTAAATTAACTGTTTGAGCTCCATAATTAGATATTTAATGACTTTTTTAAACTGCCACGTGGCGCTCTAATAAATCCTTAAAATTCTATTAAAAAAGCAAAACATCTAATCGTTGGTTTTTATTTAATCGGGTGAACCCATAGTTATCACCATTAGATCTATATCTTAAAAGTCACCAATTAAATCTATCCCCAAAACCGCCACGTTTATGCCATTGATCGCTACTACCTCCGTCTTAAAATATAGTAACTTTTAGTTACGAATCTGAACATACAATTGTCCAGATTTATAGCTAAAAATGCTTATATTTTGGGACAGAGGGAGTAAGTAGGAAGGAAAAAAAAGTACGGTACGTTTACGCCCAGCCCCACGTCTTTTTTTTCTTTTCTTCTTCTCTCACTTAGATTAGATGAAAAATAAAACTAATAATTTAAGCTCATATGCAAAAATATATGTTATTTGGAGTTGTATTATAACAAGCTGTATGCTGTCGGATCATCCATAAAAAATATAAACAAATTGAAAATATAGATTATATAACTGTATATCACTTGAGAAATTAGACTTGCATTTCCAAAAATAAAAATAACATTCAAACATTCCCAAAAGTTAAATACTGATATAACTAAATAACATTACTAATTTTTTCATATATTATGTGTTTTTCTTTTGATAGTATTGATGTGCTTTATGTCCTAGGCTTCATTCGCTCTAGCTAATTGGCTGAGCTTATCAGGACGTGCAAAACAACGTAGGTCATTGGCATTGAATATTATGATTAATTAAGAATTAAATATTAAAACTTTAAAAGTATATTTATTTAATTTTTAGAATACTTTTATATAGAAACCATTTCCAAAACACACACAATGTTCGGTAAGCATGCTTACAGTAAACAAGGGGTGGCCAATCCTATAAGTACTTCGGTACTCAACCTTAATCATTACTTCCTCTCTTTCGTAATGTAAGCCATTCTAGCATTTCTCACATTTATATTGATGTTAATGTATCTAAATAGATATATATGTCTAGATTCATTAATATCAATATGAATATGAAAAATGCTATAATGACTTACATTGTGAAACGGAGGGAGTACTTAGGTACTAAAATTCTTAATATGTAGTATATAATTTACTTTGTCAATTAGTAGTAGCCAAATATATCAATTATATGTCCCTACTATTCACCGTATATATAAGTTCTATATAGAAACCACTGTCTATCAATCTTCGAGTCTGTCGACGGTGGGTACCCGTAGACCGAATATAGAGGGTATTGGGGTACGTTGGTACGAGGATCTATGTAATACGACATCAAGGAAACAAGAGACAAAGATTATACTGGTTCAGGTCCCTTAATAGGTAATAGCCCTAATCCAGTTGATATGGGATTATACGGGGATGACCACAAATTACAAAGAGAATAACAAAACTCGACGATACCGACGAGATCGTAGTCGAGTTGATTCGACTAGATCACCCAGCGACTTGGCTCCTGTAGGCTCCGGCTTCGTAGGCTGTGGTCGTTGTGTTGGCTATGAGATTTGATGCCTTAGGTCTTCCCGGGGGGTCCCTTTTATATCGCAGGTCAGGTGGTCTCCAGGTAGGACTCGGAGACATCGGACCCTGCACGATATAGTGACGACCCAGTCCTATACGGGTAGGAACCTTTCCATTGATGGACTTCGAGATGAATTTCCTTAGCGTATACAGAGAACGTCCATACACGCGCAGATGTACCGTATTGCCATATCGCGTACATCTAAGGGTAAAGGGTATATCTTATCCGTAGCCCTGACAGAGTCATACCCTACACAATGCACCTAATAATTATCTCATATCCAATGAGCACGTGTACCATCTAGCATTGAGGATGAAGGACGATACTAACTGGGAAATCATAAAAAGATGACAGATAAGTAGATGATGCCACCAAGTGACAGTCAAACAATAGTTGACTACAATTAGATTGTGACTATGAGTAATAATATTCCTACTCTCCTACAACCACTTCTAGGATGTTACATGATGCTCTAATAAATTAAGTAAATGTAAGAAAAATAATAAGAAAAAATAAAGCATCTACCCACCGTTTTACACTTAAACCGGTGGATTCATTATTTTCAACCATTAGATTAGATCTATTAAAGTAATTGCTCGCTCTTAAAAACCAGTTAATCCCTCCCTATGTACACATGTACACGAAAAGAAAAAAAGAAGAGTACGTACGTATACAATCCTCTTGTTCGGTAGTTCTCTTTCTTTCTTTCTTTCTTTCTTTCTTTCTATGTAGCTCTACGATTTTCCTCACGTTATATATATATATATATATATATATATATATATATGTATATATATATATATATGTATATATATATATATATATGTAGTGACCACTCCTGGTGAGGTTATCGAAGAAGGCACACCGTGCCACTGCACGCCATCCCATCTATTTACTTGAAAGTATTTTTTTATTAACTATGAAGTAAAAGACAATTGTAGATGCTCATATAAACACGTGCACACCCACCCAATGAATGCACATACATATACTCTACCCCTAGGAGAGAAAAAATATTTGTTTGTTGAAAACCCAAGAAAAAAAGTACATAAGTACGAGACTACTAATCGCCGGAAAAAAATATTCATGCGTATGTACACTCCTAAATGTCAATGAAACCACATTATAAACCTTTTTTTATTATGTCAGTCTCTTCTAAATAGTGTTAACAATTAGTAAAAATAATTTTGACAATATAGATCATTCCATTGTATATTGCCTCCTGAACATGCATAAGTGGATCGATGTATAATAAAAGGAGAAAAAAAGCCAAAACCCATATTTACTCGAATGTTTGGGAAGGATGGTAATATGCGAGTTTACGTATAATCGGGATAAAGTTTTTTTAATATGATAGACATTATCATTTAGTATATCAAAGTCTTTGGTCTATTTCACGGTATACTTATTTAGTTTTTATGGTTATAAGGTAATCTATGATTTTTTATAATGAATATAGTGTGATATAACTTCTTTTTTAGTATTCTCATTACAAATAGCAAAATAAATTGCCCGCGCATCTGCGTGGGCTTCCTTTATAGTTTCAAGAAAGGTGTAAGAGTACTAGAGATATTAGAGATGACATTGTATATTAGAGGTGACATATTATATGGTTTGCCTCTTAATTTATGAGTGAATGATATGAATGAGTTTGGATGTGGTAGTCACGTCTACATAGCACTTGCCCTCAATGCTTCAAATGGTTTGTAGACGCAATTGAAGTGAACTTTTGAGGTCTCACTTTTACCATGTTCGTTCTGCTGCGTGATGTAAGATTGTTTGCTACTACATAGACTTGTTCGGCCTTTTCCGTGATGGAAGATCACGTTCGCGTGATCTCGATGAACAAAACATTACCCAGTGCCCCTCGTTTGATCTAATTTCTTGTACATCTCCTTCTATATATTGCATAACCTCCTTTTTTCCAGTATGCGCATTTTGATGGTCTAAAACTGGGCCTTGACAGTAAATTTTTATTCTACAATGTTTTGTTAATCAAAGATCACAATCGAAAGAAAGTACTTTTGAACAAGAACCCAATTGATGCAATATCAAATCTGTTCTCAGTAACTCGTACACTATCAGGTTATTACTATTGTTGGTGAAAAGCTTGAATTTAGACAACCAAATTATAATTATATGTATTCATTTACGAAAAGGAGAATGTTTCAGGGGAAAAAAAATCAGCCTCTGCCATTGGTGGAGGGAGGGAATCAGGGAAATGGACACTATATTATCCTTTAGAGCATCCCCAGCAGTTCATCCATATTTGATTTTCCATATGCTCATATGGATGGCCATCTAAAAAGATTCCTCATCCATATTCCTTCTCACTCCCATAGATCATCTATATTGCATCTTCCAATATCACTCCCTCCTATATTTTACTAATATTTTTCAACTAACCATACATTTGTATTATTTTTTATGGACTATATTTTAAACAACTAAATTTTAACAGTGTTATTTATCCCGATAATCTAAATGAGTTTATTTTAATGGATGTATTTTTAATATTCCCAACTATTTTTTCTCCTCTTCTCTTTACTCCTTTTCTCTCATCTTCCCTATTCCTCTTCTTCTCTCCTCTTCTATTCCTCTTCTTCTTCTCTCCGCTCAGCGTGGAGGCGGAGGCTAGCGGCTGGTGGCCGCGGCGGCGCAACGGGCGCGGGGCACGGCGGCACGACGGGCACAGGGGCGCGGCGGCGTGATGGGCACGGCGGCCGACGGGGGCTGCGGCGTGGCGGCACGACGGGCGCGATGGCCGACGGGGGCTGCGGCGCGGCGGTGCGACGGGCGCGGAGGCGTGGCGGCGCGACGGCCGGCGTGGGCTGCGGGTTCCAGATCTGGTATGTCTCTCCCTCTCCACCCTCACTCCTTGGGAAAAAATGCACATCTGGCCGGCGATGACGACGACATTGGGGGGGTCGCGACGGAGGGGAGGTCGATCTGGACTTTGGATGGGGGCGGGGGACGCTGGCGGTTACAGGATGTGGAGGATGGCGTGAGGAGAGAGAAACGCCAAATTTGATGTTTCTCTCTCCCCGGATGGAGGA